TTTTTGAAAACGCACTACATTCATGTATCGATTTACAAATTTTCACTATAAGGATGAGTGTGTTTTCAGGCCTGTGTTTCTCAGTTACCACTGGATTTTCACGACACTTCGTAGCCAAACCGAAGACGCTACAGAGAGCATGACCTCCCACTGACTCCTCCCCTGACATGAGTCCTCAGTTCATCGGCCTTCTTAGAGTTTTTACTCCCTTGATTAATCTTAACTGCTGTACTGGGGTAAACAGGGTAATTATCCTAAACAAGTTATTGTGTTATTACTTTCAGAATTCAGTCCTTAGTTATGCAGAAAATCAATAATACTGGGTGATTTTCTAGACCTTGAGATTAAATTGAAAGGTTTGATCTGTAAAAATATGGGAATTTTATTTTCAGTTTACAAAGTTTCACCTTATGGACAGTTTTGAATGAATGAATCACATTTGTTAATTGATGGATGGTTGTAGGACAGCACACTAGCCACCTCAGTGAGAAAGTTTACTACTCGAATGCCATCAGCTTTATGCTCACAAAAGAGATTTCTTCAGTGAAGAATGTGAACCCCCTCAGGTCACCCAGCCTGTGAGGAGCACGGCTTGTAACGCTGTGTCACAGGCTACTACTGACCTCTGAGCTCTGTTGCGTCTAGAGGCCGAATTCGTGGACTCGGTGCTCCTGAGGGAGAGCGTTAACAGCTCCGTGGGTGACGACGACAAGGTCTACTTCTTCTTCACTGAGAAGAGCGCGGAGCCCACGCCCTACTTCAGCCAGGCCAAGGTGGCGCGAGTGGCACGGGTGTGCAAGGTGAGAGCCTGGGTGTGTCTATGGGGTGTCATGGGTATGGGGTGTGGGGAGGGGCCAGTACTGGCACTGTGCTTTGGTACCATTGCCATCATCATTGCACTGCCGTCGCAATCACATCAATCTGTTTATATCTTATATGGTACCTTGCGGAGCACTCTCAAGGCAGTTTAAAATGTACAGTAAGCAAAAAAGAAAATTAAAGACAAAAAAGTACAAATTTTGAAATGAAAATAAATAATTAAGTTCGGTATTGAAGAACAAGTAAGTCTTGAGGTGAAACACTGCAGGTGTTTCAGCTCAGGACAAAAATGTTCAGACGTTTTAGACTTAGTCAGCACTTCAGTAGCGCAGTTCTGGATATACTGTAGTTTCTGAAGTAATTTCTTTGATGATCCAGCTAACAGGGCATGATGTTAATCCTTTAATTCTCTAATTAAAGGGGTTATAGAATATAGCACTTTACTGCATTCTGTGGTTTACATAGTCCTTAATTCTTAGGTTGTGCGGTACTATGCTTGTGAACTTTCCTGTGATTAATCTAAGCATTGCGGTCTATTGCAGTAAAGTGCACTAAAGTAATCACAGAGTAACAGGGTGTATTCAACAAGCTTGTTGAAGTAATCCCAGGGGATCATACAAGTATTAAAAACCCTAAAAGGCATTTGAAGACAAAGTCAATGAAGAGGACTTAATGAACAGTGAAACATGAACCAGAGGACACAAGTGGTGACTATATGGAATAGCATTAAAAACCCAAGGCAGGAGGCACTTCTTTACACACAGGGTTGTGGATATGTGGAACAAGCTGCCCAGCCATATTGTTGAATTCGATACATTGGTTTCTTTCAAGAAACAGCTAGATGAGGTCATCACCTTGATTAACTATTAACTACCAAATGGGCTGGATGGGCCAACTGGCCTCCTCTCGTTTGTAAGCCTACTGTGAGGTTCGGACCTGAGTGGCACCTGATAGACAGTGGTTGAGTCCAGACATGGAAAGAGCCTCAATGTCACAGAAGCATGTTAATACCATGGAAGACTGAGTGAAAGATGGGTAAAATACTGCCTAAAAAGTGTTAGTACAAATGCTGTTAAATGTTCTTAAGAACAAAATTCCCTTCTAATAAACGGAATATTATGAAGAAATGCAACCTGTGCTTTCCATTTCAGCCTCAAAAATAGCCTTAAGCCATCTGCTTTTTCCAGATGAGCAAGAGATTCTACTGCAGTCTCATCCCTTTCATGTTCCTTAAGGTCTCTTTCTATCCAGTCCAGTCTGACTCTCTCTGTGTGTGGTCTGCTTCACAGCATGCTGGCCACTTCACCTTGAGAGCGTACTTCAGGTGGAGTGTATGCGTTCCTGTCTTTTCAGCGGCCTTCTGTGGGACTTTCAGGACAGTCCTGTTGCTAGGCAGCCAAGACAGAGGCTCACTTCATTCTCCAGACAGCTCACTGTCTGAGTCCACAACCCTCCTGTTGAATCTGGATGAGCTTGACCCTTTTAGGAACCTGTTTACCATACATTGCTAAACTGTCCCTTTTTTGTTGTGTATTTCTTTTAAGTCATTAAAAACATTCCTGCCTCGTCTGTAGAATTTAAAGTTTCTAGGAGGTGCACCATTTTTTTTCCGTGACCAATTCATGGGTTTTCAATGTCTGTAGTCTTAGTGTCTGCTTGCCAACAGATAAGCTCTTGTTTTAATTAAGGAGTTGTGTTTGAGTTACAGCTGTAGTGCATACAGGACAAAGCACAATCCCAGCCTATACAGAGTGCAGACCATATAGGGCTGCCCTGAGCACCTCTGCTTCCCCTGAAAAGAAAGAACATGCGTGTAGCTCAGATTGGAGGTGTTTGATAGATA